CTCTCTCTCTCCTCTCCCCTCCTCCTCTCTCTCTCTCCTCTCCCCTCCCTCTCTCTCTCTCTTCCTCTCCCCCTTCTCTCTCTCTTCTTCTCCCCCCTCCTCTCTCTCTCTCTTAATTTGTAAAATTTGTGGCTGTCATCACTCATAACTCCGATGTTTTTCCCTTGGAAATTGAATTCTTATCTCTTTAACACATTTATAAAGAAAAACTAATCAGAACGCATTTATAAAGAACAGCTAACCGGAAAATAGTGGGGGCTTTATTCATGTTATCTTAGCTTCTAGAAATTTCTCCCAAACACAAAACCGGTTTGAAATCAAATAATTATAGAGCACGTGTCATTATCCATATCAATTTTCACTTCTTTTTTTTAATAGGAACGTAATGCATTTCCATTTGTACTTCCTCATGGTGTGAGAGATTAAATTAAAGTAGGTCTAACGAATTGGAGAATCTTTTTTAATAGGGTGTGGTTTGCATAAGGTTGCAACCTTAAACGGTCACACCTCCAAATTTTAACATAAATATAATTTTCGTGTCAAAATTTTTTCGGGTGGCATGAGAATCTATTTTTATCTCTAATCCTAAAATCTTAAATTCCAAAAATGGCTCAAATCAAGTAGATCTATAAACACTTGAAATTTTTTAAAATGGACTGTCTACATAATGTATTGCAAAATACAATGTTTTTATAATTTGAAATCATTTTTTCTTTTCATATTCATACATCTCGATGTTGAGATAATCAATTAAAGGGTTTTCCAACACCAAAACAACTTTTTATAATGAATTTTTTTATAGGTACCTTAATTCCACATTTTAAAGTTCTTTAATGGCGTTCTTGCTGATTTAATATGATCCCTTCCACTAAATACAGCTCCGCTTCCAATTCTCATACCGATGACTGAGAACATGCAAGAATGGAAGTGACATTTGTGAAGCACCATGACAGTATTTCCATTCTCTGAATTTTGTGAGCAGGCCAACCTACCAAACAATTTTTTAGCACATCCAATGGCCAGTGTTCATTTATAATATTTTTCTATAAAAATTTTTAAACAGGGGAATTTGCAAAGAGTGCACTATGGCCAGGCGCATATTGAAAAAAAAAAAGACAAAAATTCCCCCACTCTTATCAGTTTGTGAGCCACAGATCGTGCAATCTTGACCGTCCAGCCCATATTGTAGCATAGGCATTGACCCATAGATTGCACACACAAATTCACAAAGGTCTATGGTTGGGATTCAATCTGAACAAATCCAACAACCAACATGTATGAGCATTTTGAGACAAAAAACGCAAAAAAACAAATATACAAGAAACATATGAAAAACAACCCACACTTGTTCATGAACTAGGCAACCCTGATCAAGGTCGTTTGGCCAATACTGTAGTATAGGCTAGCCAACCCATGAATCTTGATCCTAGATATGGGTGATATGGGTGCAATTTATATAAAGGCAAGGCCCTAACAATCAAAGTAAAGCGCACTTTCAAATAGTGTTAAGAAAAGTAAAGAACACTATCAAATAGTGTTAAGAAATGTAGTTTCAATACTAGAAATATGTGATAGCCTTAAAATATATTTTCATCTCTAGTTATAAAATTTAAAGCTTAAAAAATAGTATAGAACGAGCAGATCTATGAAAACTTGAAAATTATCCAAAAATACATTTTCTCATGTCCATGCATCTGAAGGTCAAAATGATCAATTCGAGGATATTTGGGCATGAAAACAACTTCTTTTAGTGAAAGTTTTGAGGTGCGCCGTAATTATATTGTTTAGAGCCTGGCACTTGTATAAAAATTTTCTCTATATATATATAAGGGTGCTCACACTATAGAGTATACTCAACAAATTATGGACATTTATATAACATTGTCATGTACACGGAGCATTTTTTTAGTAAGGGTAACATCAGCCACATAGGGCATTAAATGTCACCAGTGTGCTTCATGTCGGACATAGAGCATTAAATGTCACTAATGTACTCCACGCGGGTGATGTTACACACCTCCTGATGACAAAAAATATCATTATTAAAAAATACTATATACACAAAACAATGATATATAAGTATCCAAAATTTATTAATTACAATGATAAATTACTCTGTAACGTGAGTACTCTAACATAACCTATATATATATATAAGATTTTATACAATGAGACCATTTACCATTGATATGAGGTGAACACAAATTACCTACAACCATTTGATGTGAATTTGATAGCTTAAATGTGTCACAAAGTTCAAAAAAATTTCTTTTGAAGTTTGAACTTGATCAATGTAATAGTTACAACCACTCAAGTTCACATCCAATGGTCAAGATTATTGTAGCCACTTTGGTCTCATCCTACACTTTCCGTACATATATAGGGTGTGGTTTACATAAGGATGCAACCTTAAACAAGCGCAACTCTAAATTTCATTGGATGTGATTTGCGTAAGGATACAACCTTAAACAATCCAATTAAAGCGTAGCTCTAAATTTTATCATAAATACAATTTTGATATAAAAAATTCTTAGGATAGCTTGATAATCTATTTTCATATTTAATTATAAAATTTTATATTCTAAAAATTGTTCAAATTAAGTAGATCTATAAACATCTTAAAATCTTGAAAATGAATGGCCCAAATAACGTCTTCCAAGATACAGTATTTTGTATACTTGAAATATTTTTATTTTTTCATATTCATACATCTCGATGTTAAGATGTTCAATTAGAGGGTTTTCAAACATCCAAACAACCTCTTATGATGGATTTTTTAGATGCATCTTTAATTCAACATTTTAAAGTTGCAACCCTATATATATATATATATATATATATAATAAAAAAATACTAAA